TGCAACTAGGGGGCGTATGTTTGTAGGTGCCCAATTGTAAGTCAACCATGGACTCACAACTGGGACGTGCCGTACTTATTTGTAGTTGCTCCAGTTGCAAGTCAATTGTCGACTCGCAACTAGGGGGAGGATGTTTGTAGGACTCAGTTTCAAGTCAACCATCGACTCGCAATTAGGGGGCATATGTTTGTAGGGGCCCGAGTTGCAAGTCAACCACTGACTCGCAACTAGGGAGGCATATGTTTGTAGGGGCCCCAGTTGCAAGTCAACCACCGACTCGCAACTAGAGGGGCGTTTGTTTGTAGGGCCTAGTTGTAAGTCAACCATCGACTCGCAACCATGGAGGATATATCTTTGTAGGGGTTCAGTTGCAAGTCAACCATCAACTCGCAACTGGGACGCGTCGCACTTTTTTATAGTTGCCCTAGTTGCAAGTCAACCATCGACTCGCAACTAGGGGCGTCTTTTTTTGTAGTGGCCCCAGTTGCATGTCGAACATCGTCTCACAAACTAGGGTGTGGGGCGTATGTTTTATGGGAGTAAAGGATTGACTTGCAACACTAAACTTAAAATTAGGACTCTTTTAGTTTGTGGGTGCCACATTTTTATTAGTAAACACCAACTCACAATTGGGGTCCTTTTCTCAAATTGGTTTTGAACCATTGTCATATGTTTTTTATTTTTTGTCAACTATTTTTTAAATCATGATTATTGTATAGTAGCTGTTTAGAAAACAACTTAACACTATTTTATGTAGGAACGTACACGGCAGTTTTTGCACTCAATTGCACTTTTGTTAATTTTTTGAAGGGGTTTTATGCAAGATCTCCACAACACTAACGAATCTTTTCATCCTTTTTCCCCATCAAATATCCACCTAAAAACTTGTGTGGCTGAGTTCTTTTTGTTCATTATATGATTACTTTTTTTGTTAAAACTATACTGCTCTAGTTGGGAGAGCACAGATTATGTATTGCACATTTTAATTATTTTTATCTTTATCTATCATCTTTGTGCGGGGATTTGAAGTTTTTTTTTGCACTAACTGAGATGTTAAGAGGTTGTTTTCGACAAAAATGGGTTCAATAGTAGCGTTTTTGGGTCTTATTCAGAGAGTAACTTTTTTGAGATAATGTGAAGCTACTACAGGATGTTTATTTCTCTTTTAAGCGCAAAATATGGCCATGTCCCCAAGAGAACACAGGCCTGGCTTGGGATGCCCCAATTTTTTTTACCCATATATGGGAATGTTTTTCCATGAATCTAATGTTGTTTCAAACATTTTATACAAAATGTTTTTTTGTAAATTAGAGACATATTGTTTCTGAAATTTCATGAACTAAACAGCAAGCGGACATAATCGTCTGATGAACTTGTTCTAGATTAGATCATGTATTGCAAAACTTATAAAAGCAAGGAATTCTCCCTGTGTTTGATTGCTTTTCAGAAGTTTTTTTTGTAGAAGCCTAGATCTAGCCCGTCAAATAACTACACCCTCTTTACCCGCAATTTTTTTTTTACAACTACACCTTCTATCAGCTTTTTTGGCTGACATATGTATTTCTCCTGTGCAACAAGAACAATCAAA